TTTGTATTGAGGTGTATTTCTCTGATGCGTCAGTGGTTGGAGCCTGTGCGCCTCACACACACACACACACACACACACAGTTTGATTGCATAAGCAGCACATAATAAAGCTGCTCATTTCCTCTGAAAATGAAAACGCTGATTTGCTGGAGAGACAGACGGGACTTTATCTCCCATGGCAACCGACATGTGACGAAATATCAGACACACTTTACCTGCACTGATGGTCTGACCGGCGTTTGCATCAACACGGAAATACATATACATAAATGCATGCTAGTTTATCAAAATATTCTAAATGCAGAGATGGAAAACACTTGTGTAGCACATGCAGAAAAGCAAGCACACATCAGTTTCTGAAGTCATCAGTCATTCTGTCTGCTTGTGTGAAACCGTTTCTGATGTGCAGCAGATTGTGTTACACATGATGCTGGTCAGTGAGTGCACTTCATAGGCCGCACATGTTGGCCTTTGACCTCCTGGAATCTGGCAGACGTTTGTCAGTGTGTGTGTGTGTGTGTGTGTGTGTGTGTGTTCGGGGAAAACACGTCTAAAGATATTTGAAATACTGAGTATATCTGAAACGATGAAGACTTTAGCTGGAGAAGATGAAGTGTTCTCTCATGGGAGAAACACGTTATTATTTAAAGCAGCTGCAATTATTTCTGTCCTAACTTATAAAGTCTGGTGAAATTATTTAAGATTCAAATATGGGAAAAATCTAAATATTGAGAAAATCATCTTTAAAGTTGTCCAAATGAAGTTCTTAGCAATGCATATTACTGATCAAAAATTAAGTTTTGATATATTTACGGTAGGAAATAAACAAAATATCTTCATGGAACATGATCTTTACTTAATATCCTAATGATTTTTGGCATAAAAGAAAAATGTATAATTTTGACCCATACAATGTATTGTTGGCTATTGCTACAAATATACCCCAGCGACTTAAGACTGCTTTTGTGCTCCAGGGACACATATAAGAGTCTGTATATTTAGCATATAACTTTGTAAAAGATCTGTAAAATCAAAATGTTTTGACAACTTTTTGTCATGTGGGATGTGAGAGTTTCATGCCAAATAAATCAATGGCATAGCAGGAGTTCAGAAAAGTAGGTTTTTCTGAAAATGCAAAATAGTGAAAGATGACTCAAGAGTGTCCCAAATGACACACTATACACACTTCATGTCCACTTATGTACTCAAGTATGTAGTGTATGAATTATAAGGTTATTTTGTCATTTATAACCAGAGTCTGATACGTAATTAAAGCTGCGACAGTTGAGTGCATGAAGTGTTCAACATTACACACTTTGTTTGGTAATTTAGGTGCATCATCCGGGTAAAGTGCACGTTTTCTTTTTGGAATTTCCAGTGTGAACACACTAATTGCATTATTTATATTACCTATCAGTGTTAGAAGGTTACTTTGGAAATGTTACAGGTTACAGATTAAAAGTAGCCTAGTGTAACTATTTCAATTACTTTATTAATGTAACTAATTACATGCACTCTAAAAAAATGCTGGGTTAAATATAACCCAGCGCTGGGTTAAAAAGGGACAAACCCAGCTATTGGGTTATATTTAACCCAGCATTTTTTAGAGTGTGTGATTACTTTTCAAATACCTTTCTAAATTTCTAACAAATGTTTTATTTTAAAAATTATTTTAAAACATTTAAGGCTGGGTTTACCTTACAGTGGTGCTCAACACTGATTACTGTCAGACTATATATCTATATCATAATCATTTAATTTTAAAGCACAGCCACCACAAAATCAGACTTTAGCACCTCATTTGAGATCATTCTGAGGTTAAATACAGATTTAAAATCATAGGAAATAGTTTAATAGCTATGATACTGTTTTATAAATCAAATCTTTGGCTCCCAAACTCTGGAATAGCCTTCCTGATAACGTTCGGGGTTCAGACACACTCTCTCCGTTTAAATCTAGATTAAAGACTCATCTCTTTGGCCAAGCATTCAAATAATGCATCTCATAATCTTGTACTGCAGTTATATCTGATCAAATGCACATTATTATTCTTTAGTTTGGGTTAAACAAATCAATTTTGCTTGGTTGGAACAGCAGCTACGCTTATTATGTCTCTATTTGTTTCTCTGTTTTTGCTAGGATTTACACAAGCTTCAGTCTGGATCCAGAACACCTCAGAAGAGATGATGCCAACCCCTCAGAGGACCTCAGATGATGCCAACCCTGAAACAACATATAAAACTACCATATTTTGCTATAAGTTTGATTGCATCATATAATAATTGCTGTTAATAGTGTTCATCGTCTGTTTGATTACGTCTTTAATGGATTTTCCCGTACATTTCTGCCATATGAACTGACAGTCACCACTGATAAGCTACCACTAAATATTGTAGAAACTTAATTTGCTGTAAAGTTGCTTTGCAATGATTTGTATCGTGAAAAGCACTGTACAAATAAACTTGAATTGAAAAAAAATCTTTGCATAGCTATGATGGGAAACAAGGGCATCTAACAATGCCTTGAAAAAAAAAAAACAGTTTAATTCTTTAAAAAAATCTTAATTTAATTCTTAAAAATAAAGCATCTTCATAAACCCAAATAGGAAATAAAACAGTTATTGAATAAGCATGTGTCCTAAACTCCTGAAACATTAGTGTCTCATATTTTAGAGCAGTCAATGCAATTTGGGAAAGAAATCAATTAAATCTGTGTGTGGGTGTGTGTGAAGAAAAAATAAAAATTCAGATGTGACCCCCTTTGTAATCTTTAAAATAAATAAATAAATAAATTATTCTAGCTCTCATGGTTCCTGAGTTATGAACTAAAATGCAAATAATTTCTGCAAATGTATGTCTGACGCATGATCTAAAGCACAAATGCACTTATTATGGTGGCTGACAGATTAGTGTGGGGGTCTGTGAGTAGTGGTTTGAGTTTGAGATCTCTACGATTAACGGTCTCTGACACCGGAACGCTTTTAGGGCAGAAGAAGAAGAAGTTTTTTATATAAATTCGATTTTCCAGTAACTCCCAAAGAATTCTCCATTGTCATGGACACTATTCCTAAAGGAGCTGTTATGCTTTTAAGGGACTCTGTTAGATCCTCCAGCACTTTACCTATTTCTTTAGACCCATTTGAAATCCCAGTAGGAAAACTATGCTTTTTGTCACATCCTTCATCAAGTAACTATAAGATTAGAATCGCTCTTTCAAAAGGAGCTTGTAACAGCTCCATATATGGTGTCTTATTGGAAGAATGTGGTTGATCATATTGATTGGGAAAAGGTATTGACTCTGCCTTTGAAATATATAACAACTAACAAGGTTAGAGTAATCTCATTCAAATTACTACAGAGATTTTACCCAGCTAAAGTGTTTTTGAAAAGGTTTAAATCAGACATAGATACAAGCTGTTCTTTTTGTGGTGACCCTAATGAAACTGATATGCATATCTTCTGGTATTGTCCTCACACACAGATAATTTGGATCGAATTGGATGGAAAGAGGTTCAACAGTATATCTAAACTATTTCATCTTCAACCTTAAAGCTGTTAAAACAGTTAATTTATTTCATTTTAATTTATTTTGTTAAAGCTTTCATTTTGTATTATTTATTTATTGTTATACATGTATAAATGGTGCTTTGCATGTAATGTCACCTCTTTGTATGTAATGGTAATATTTTATGTACTTTAATCTTTGGTACCTTGGCATTAATAAAAATACTAAATAAATAAATAACAGCGTCAGACTGACACGTGACTCTCCTGCGCTCAGGACTCTTATTATGAAACGCATCGCCGCTGATTCAGCGTCAGACTGACACGTGTCTGTCTCTCCTGCGCTCGGGACTCTTATTATGAAACGCATCGCCGCTGATTCAGCGTCAGACTGACACGTGTCTCTCCTGCGCTCGGGACTCTTATTATGAAACGCGCCGCCGCTGATTCAGCGTCAGACGGACACGTGGCTCTCCTGCGCTCGGGACTCTTATTATGAAACGCGCCGCCGCTGATTCAGCGTCAGACGGACACGTGGCTCTCCTGCGCTCGGGACTCTTATTATGAAACGCGCCGCCGCTGATTCAGCGTCAGACGGACACGTGGCTCTCCTGCGCTCGGGACTCTTATTATGAAACGCGCCGCCGCTGATTCAGCGTCAGACGGACACGTGGCTCTCCTGCGCTCGGGACTCTTATTATGAAACGCGCCGCCGCTGATTCAGCGTCAGACGGACACGTGGCTCTCCTGCGCTCGGGACTCTTATTATGAAACGCGCCGCCGCTGATTCAGCGTCAGACGGACACGTGGCTCTCCTGCGCTCGGGACTCTTATTATGAAACGCGCCGCCGCTGATTCAGCGTCAGACGGACACGTGGCTCTCCTGCGCTCGGGACTCTTATTATGAAACGCGCCGCCGCTGATTCAGCGTCAGACGGACACGTGGCTCTCCTGCGCTCGGGACTCTTATTATGAAACGCGCCGCTGCTGTCACCTTCGCCGTCCTCATGGCTGGAGATTACAGCAGATCTTCAGTTCATTAACCGAGGATCTTCATCGGGCAGCGCATCCTCATCCTCAGGTGACTGTGTTTATTCAGTGCTCGGCAGGTTCAGATGTGTTAGTGTTTCATTTGTCAGGGTCGAGCAAATAAACCCCAGCGGGATCCGAGAGTGAAATGTAAAGCGCTGAAGTCGTTAGAGTTAAATGTGGTAAACTGGAGGTAAAGCCGAGGCAGACAGTATAGTGACAGCTCTTATCCTGCTGACAGAAACAGCGCGGCTCTGGGGAAAACATTATCCAGCAGAAATAGCGATGAATCTAAACAAAAGTGCTTTGCATAAGCAAACCTCTATGAAACCAGAAAAACGGGTTATGTTGAGAACGGAATTTGACTCATGCGCATACGTTTATACATTATGAATCATTCTGGACAGCGTTAACCTGATTTTACTGCATCTCACATCAGCGGGACTGTTGCTGTATTAATAAATAAGCATTCATCTCGGAAGTGTGTGAGAGATCTGGGTAATTACTCAGTAAAAGTTCCGGAGTGACTCTTCTTCAGGTGATTCACTGGAGCTTTGATTCCCATCTTCATCATCTTCATCATCATCATCATGTGTTTGTTCCTTCTCTTCCGTCATTGTGTAATTCAGGAAAACTTGTAATGATTTTTTACAAACTGCTGGAACTAGAGGATGGTAATAATTGTAATATCTGTTTTTGTTGGGAACCTGGGCTCTGTGGAATCAAAGGAAATTAGGAAGTGCAGTAAAACCAGTCATTTGTTCCTATGTTAATAACAAATGGCAAAAAAGTGTGGGATCTATATACAAAGAATGAACTCCTTGAGATTAGTCCCAGTGTTGGAAAAAGAAAGCCAGATCAGGGACCCACTGAAGACAAGTCTGCTCAAGTCCGGCTCTGTTTTCAGTTTCCTCCTGAACCTCTTGGGGTCTGAGTTTTACCCCAAACTAATTATTACATCTCATGTTTACATTTCATGTTCTCCCAATACCCGCTAACTCCTTTCCCATGCTCTCCTCATTAATTGTCTACATTGTTTTACCTTGTGAGAGTGGCAGACTGACAATTAGCCTGTCTAAAAACATATCACAAAGTGATTTTTCAGTGTGTGTGTGCCTCAATATTTCTATCAAAACACCATATTTTTGAAGGCCTAGTATCAGAGCACCTTCAGCTGAAATCTTGTTCTTTCCCATGTGACTTTTCTCCCAGTCACGCAGCTCTAAACTAATATGTGGCTGGATTTTGATGTGAGAGACGACAGGAGATGCACTCTTTCACTGGAGGAAGCGTTATTATGGACTCATATTTTAGTTAAAAACGTCTGAATGCTGGATGTGTTTCTGTTTCTGTCTTCTCCAGATGTTAACTGATGGACTGGAGTGCTGTGGATTATTGTGGTGTTTTTATTACTACAGACTCATTGACCCTTTCCTGAAATGTTCATTTACATGATCATGTGAAAGAATAATATGCCTCCTGTTCCTGTAAAACTGAATGATAAAGTCATATTTTATTAGATCAAGTTGTTCTCAGATTGAAGGCAGGATGAAGCGGTGTGTGTGTGTTTTGTTCTGTGTGTGTGTGTGTGTTTTGTTCTGTGTGTGTGTGTGTGTGTGTGTGTTTGTTCTGTCTGTGTGTGTGTGTGTATTTGTTCTGTCTGTGTGTGCGTGTGTTGTGCCGTTGGACTTATCAGAGATGTTTCTTGCTGCTTTCCACAGATTAAAGCGGCGAGGTCACGAGCACTTCCTCCGTTTCCCACAATCCTTAGCTGCAGATCAGTTGAATGAAAGCGCTCGCTGTGAAGTTCTTCATTTCGCTTTGGATTACTGATCTTCTCTTGGGTTTGTCTGTGAGTAGACATTGCTTTCTCTCTCTCTCACACTCTCTCTCTCACACACACACACACACACTCTCACACACACACACACACACACTCACACACA